ATCACTTCTTATACTACTGAAAAATCACAAATGGAATCTACTTTTAGCATATAAACAACGTTTACAGAGATGAAAAAGTAATTATGCTTATACTAAAAAATAATATCCTTATGTTTATTTATTTTCATAACACTGGCAAAAGAGTTTGGCCATGATTCCTTAGTAGCCATCTAGTTTTTATGGTATGTACATCTCACATGAGACATAAAATACACAGACGATACATGTATTCACTGGGAAGACACAGCTTCATTCTTCTTATCTTCTCTCATTTGAGTCGAAAGAAAATTTCAAGTGTAGTTCTGTGCATACCAAAAGAGACTGGAAAATTCTGATACATATCCTGTTAGTTTTCTTCTCAAACCTCTTTGTATGAAGCTAAGTTTTCTTTTTTTTCTTTTAGTAGTTCTGGAGTTATCATCAGAGGTCTAATTTAACTCTGCTAACGTTTTTATATTAATATGAAACTATGGTAGCCAGCTTCTAGGATGGACCCATGATCCTTGCCTTCTGCTGTCCACACCCTTGTGTAGTCCCCTCCTACCCTGGGCCAACCTATGTGATCAATAGAATACTGTGAACATGGCGGTACGTGGCTTCCAAGGCTAGATCATAAAATATATTGCTGCTCTGCTTTGCTCTCTTGGATCATTGGCTCTGAGGGAAGCCAGCCGCTATGTTGTGAGGACACTCGAGCAGCCCTGTGTAGAGGCCCATGTGTAGAGGAGCTGAGGCTGTTCCACCTTGCAGCCGAGTGAGGGAGCCACCATGGAAGCACACCCTGTAGCTCCCGTCGAGGCCCAGCCTAAGAGGGACCTTAAGCCAGAAATGCCTCACAAGCCACTCTTGAAATCTTGGGCCACAGAAATCATGAGAGATAATAAACGACTGTTGCTGTTTTAAGCCATTACATATGAGGTGACTTGTTAGCACTGGGAATGAAAAAATGTTGCCTGCCAACAAAGGAGGCCGCAGCTGTCAAGCCACTACAGCAGCCCCTACAGTGAGCCCTGAGAGGATTCAGGATGGAGACAAACGTGCTGCCCACCACCAAGCCCTCAGCCACTGTAGCTCCCCCCAGTGGCGCACCCCGAGGGGAGTCAGGATGGGAAAGCACAGGATACTGGTCCTAGATAGCTGAGGTGCATATCTAAGGAATGATTTCAATGAGCACAGACTCTTGCATCTTCCCATACATAGAAAAGTGCTCAGTGCTTTAACTTGAGATATCTGGTTTTCTTTAATTAACAGTAATCTTTTGATGTTCCAACTGACTGGTCTTTGTTGCAAAAACCCCTGTATATCCTGGTTCCTCCCTCACCTCTTCGGACCAGTCCCTCAGAGCTATCCGAGAAGCTGCATCCCAGGCTTGAAGTCCTGAGAAAGACTGCCAAATAAAACATAATTCTCAACTTTGAGCTTGTGCTTTTTTTTTTTTTTCAGTCGACAGCAGCAATACATAAGTAATACAGAGACTTTTATTTTTTCGTTTCATTTCATTTCATTTCATTTCATTTTAATTTATTGCCCCGCCAGGCGGCATGTGGAATCTTAGTTCCCCAACCAGGGATCTAACCCGCGCCCCATGCGTTGGGAGAACAGAGTCTTAACCACTGGACCACCAGGGAAGTCCCCAAGGTTTTATTTTAAAAATCAGTTATACGGTGGCAAAACGAAACTAATCATGCATGATATCCATTTCTGTGGTTTATAATTGCTGTACTTCTTGCACTTTTATTCTTTGGTTGTCTCAGCGCCTGGATACATTTCCGGATATTGAAAACTAAGTACAATTACAAAAATATGTTTCAGTCCAAGATCCGAATCTGGAAATTATAAACATCTGTAGTCTTAGTAGATGATTGGTTTATTAGGAAAGGATGTAACTCAGGAACAGCCAGAGTGTAAGGGGTGGAGGGGCAGAGAGCTGGCGGTGGGAAGCTGTGGGTGGGACACGGGGGTTCCTGTGCACTTACTGCTGAGTGAGGTAGGAAGCCACTAAGGCTGCAGGGAAGAAAAGAGATGCTGTAAATTTAAAAACTGAAAATTAAGTGTCAGTGAGGATGTGGGGACTCAGAGACTCCTGGGCACAGCGGCGGGTGTGTAACCAAGTTCACTCAGTCTGGAGGCGAGTGCCTCAGTACACTGAGGAGTTAAGTGTGCAGGTGCCCCATCACATATCAAGTTCATTTTTTACAGCGGCACAGAGAAATATCTATGAGAAGGTACATCCTGGTAGCAAAGTGAATTAGAGTTTTCCAGAGAAGCAGAACCAGTAAGACGTATATGTGTGTTTACTGTAAGGAACTGGCTCACGTGATTATGGAGGCTGACAAGTCTCAAGGTCTGCACTGAGCAAGCTGGTGACCCAGGAGAGCAGATGAGGAAGGTCTAGCCTAAGACCCGGGAGACAAGATGGTGGAGCAGAAGGGCAGGAGCGCACCCCACGAAAACATCAAAATCACAACTAAGGGCTTCCCTGGTGGCGCAGTGGTTGAGAGTCCGCCTGCCGATGCAGGGGACACGGGTTCGTGCCCCGGTCCGGGAAGATCCCACATGCCACGGAGCGGCTGGGCCCGTGAGCCATGGCCGCTGAGCCTGCACGTCTGGAGCCTGTGCTCCGCAACGGGAGAGGCCGCAACAGTGAGAGGCCCGCGTACCGCATAAAAAAAAAAAAATCACAACAAACTGCTGAACAACCACGGACCAAAAACTCACTGGAAGCTACCAGAAAAGATATCCTGTATCCAAAGACAAAGAAGAGGCCACAGTGAGACGGTAGGAGGGGCACAATCACGATAAAATCAAATCCCATACCCGCCAGGTGGGTGACCCACAAACTGGAAAATGATTATACTGCAGAGGTTCTCCCACAGCAGTGAAAGTCCTTATCCCCATGTCAGCTTTCCCAGCCTAGGGCCTGGCCTCGGGAGGAGGAGCCCCCAGAGCATGTGGCTTTGAAGGCCAGCCGGGCTTGATTGCAGGAATTCCACAGAACTGGGGGAAACAGAGACTCCACTCTTGGAGGGTGCACACAAGGTCTCGTGTGCACCAGGACCCAGGGGAAAAAGCAGTGGCATCATAAGAGCCTGGGCCAGACCTACCTGCTGGTATTAAGGGTCTCCTGTGGAGGCAGAGGGTGGCTGTGGCTCAGCATGGGGATAAAAGCCTAAGACCCAGGAGAGCCGCTGTCGTATGTTGCAGGTGAGGGCAGGAGAAGGCCGACGTCCCAGCTCAAGCACTCGGGGAAGTTCCCCCTCATTCAGCCGTTTTGTTCTATTCAGGTCTTCAACTGACTGGATGATGCCCACCCACACTAGGGAGGGCAATCTCCTTTACTCAGTTTACCAATTCGAATGTTAATCTCATCCAAAACACCCCACAGACAGACCCAGAATTATGTTTGACTAAATGTCTGGGCACCTTCGGGCCCAGTCAGGTTGACACATAAAATTAACCCTCTGGGCTTCCCTGGTGGCACAATGGTTAAGAATCCGCCTGCCAATGCCGGGGACACGGGTTCGAGCCCTGGTCCAGGAAGATCCCACATGCCGCGGAGGACTAAGCCCGTGCACCACAACTACTGAGCCTGCGCTCTAGAGCCCGTGAGCCACAACTACTGAGCCCATGTGCCACAACTACTGGAGCCCACGCGCCTAGAGCCCGTACTCCGCAACAAGAGAAGCCACCGCAATGAGAAGCCCAACACCACAACGAAGAGTAGCCCCCGCTCGCCACAACTAGAGAAAGCCCACGTGCAGCAACACAGACCCAACGCAGCCAAAAATAAATAAATAAATAAATATACATTTTTTAAAATAAATTAAGTACTGGCAGTACTTAAAATAAATTAAGTACTCACACAAAGTACTGGCAGTAACCTTGGTGCCCAACCCAAGGGGATTTATAATTAAAGTGTAGTAGACGAAAGTTTAAAGTATAGTGCTCACCAGTTAAAAGTAATAAACCTGTTTCATATTGCAACATGGATAAAACAGAAAATTATGCGTTAACAAGGTAACAGCAAAACAAAAATACAGCTGTCCCTTTGTACCTGCAGGAGATTGGTTTCAGGACCCTCAGCAGACACTAGAATCCAAGGATGCTCAAATCCCTTATACAAAATGGCGTAGTATTTGCATATAACCTACCCACACCCTCCCGTATACTTTAAATCGTCTTTAGATTACTTATAATACTTAATACAATGTAAACACTGTGTAAATAGTTGTAAGTACAATGTAAATGCTAGTTGCTGCCACACAGCAAATTCAAGTTTTGATTTCTGGAACTTTTGGGGATTTTCTTTATTTTTGGAGTATTTTTGGTCCATGGTTATTTGCATCCACAGATGCAGAACCTGAGGCTATACAGGTCTGACTGTAATCCTATTTTTATTTGCAACCCTAGAATAAGACCCCAAAAAATCTGCTCCCCCAAACCATGAACTGATTATGATATTCAACCAAAAGAGAAGGTTCCTCCCCAAGAAGAATGTGTCTGTCACCACTGGAGGTAACTTACTTACTCTGAAAAATGATCATTGAAGGGAAATAACTGAATAATTATCTTGCCTTCACTTTAGGAACTATATTTCAGGGTGACCAAATAGGCCTGAATGATGAGAAAGGGCTCTGTTTTACAGAAGGATACTGTAACCAAAAGCGGGGTCCAGCTGTTCGCTGCTCAAAAGCCAATAAAGAGGCAAAGTTGGTGGAAAGGAAAGTTTGCTTTATTTTGGATGTCAGCAATGGGGGTGGGGCGGACTCCTGTCCAAAGGCCGACTCCCCCTACAAATGACAATCATGGGCCAAGAGCTCTCATAGACGGAGGGAGAGGGCTACGTGCAGAAACAGCACAGTCAGCTCTGACGGTCATCTTGAAATTGGTCATCGGTGGTCTGACCAGCGTCATCTTGATTGTTTTAGGTACAGTTAATCTTCAGTTCCAGGGTCGGTTTGTTCCCATTTCCTTGAGGCCAATTCTTGGAATTGTGGCAGCTTACCTCATGGCTACAGTCTGGTCATCATGTAGTTAACTTCTCCCACCTGGTAGGAGTTTCAGTATCTATAAGACAGCTCACAGGATATGGCTCAGAATATCATCTATAGCCCTTGAGAAGGAACTAATGGTCCTTGACTATGCTTAATGACTAAACTATTATTATTTAGTCTTGTTGGACTGTTTTCCTTTGTTTCTGCATTTTCTCACTTCTCTGATCAGACTTATTCTTGGGCTAAAGTTTTTTCACAGACAAAAGGCAGGCTGAGGACATGGGGTGGGGCAAGGACCATAGGGTCCTGTTCTGTTTCAATACCAGCTAATTAATATGGAAAAATCATAGTACAAAATCATCATTTTGCAAATTCTGATAAAATAATTGATTCAGGCAACATTAATCAATAGATGAGAAAACCTTTGGGTGAAAGACTGATGGGGGACAGAGTGTCAAGTGTCATGCCAGAGGATACTTGCTGGTTGAAAGAGGGAAACACAATTCTTCCATGAGGGATCAGGCTCTCATCACCAGAACTCACCAAATCTTAGCATCGTTAGCAATGGGGCAACCGGATTATTTTGAGCATCCCGGTGTGTTGAAATACAAAGCACAAGATACTGCACTGAAGTATTCTTACTTCAATATTTAATATTTTTGTTAATATTTTGTTTCATAGTTTTGTTAAGTCTGAGCAGGATTTTAGGTCTAAATTCCAGGTGACAGGAAGTAAAGGAGACAGGTTAAATGACCCCATGAGGGAGCAACCAACCAAATCTAAAATGTGGGACATTTTGCAGGAAAACTGATTTGGCTTTCTCAATAAGACACCGGCATTTAACGCAGGAAAAGCAGGGAATTGTCCTACATTAACTCAAACAAACCAGCTGTAATAAAGTGGTTTTTTAAGGACAACTGGGAAAATTTGAATATGTGCTGTGCGCAAAATGGTATTCGGGAATTTATTTTCTGATATGTGACAAAGGAATTATGGTTCTGAAAGGCGCTGTCCTCTCTTTTTTTTTTTTTTTTTGCGGTACGCGGGCCTCTCACTGTTGTGGCCTCTCCCGTTGCGGAGCACAGGCTCCGGAGGCGCAGGGTCAGCGGCCATGGCTCACGGGCCCAGCCGCTTCACGGCATGTGGGATCTTCCCGGACCGGGGCACGAACCCGTGTCCCCTGCATCGGCAGGCGGACTCTCAACCACTGCGCCACCAGGGAAGCCCTGTCCTCTTTATTTAGGGTTGAGACGCTATGATGTTTGTAATTTACTTTAAAATGCTTCAGGAAATTATATAGAACAAAATAGGAAGCAAAAAAAGGGCAAAACGATCATTGTTGAATCCAAGGGATGGGTTCATTAAGTCATTCTCTGTACTTTTCTGAATATTTGAAAAACTTCACATACAAAAGTGAAAAGGGGTCTGTGGGGCTCCTGGGAAGAAGAAATTCAGAGGTTTTAGGAATCATTTAACATTTGAAAACTCACATCCAAACAGAAATTGATGGGTATAATTCTTACTGATATACTTATCTTTGCATTAAGCCTGTTTCAGAAAGACTGTTCACTCAGTCCAGGAAGACAACATAACTAACAGTTGTTTGAGAGAAATTCAGGGTCATGAAAGCAAACTGACCAGGCCCTTGGTGCTCAAGAGTGGATCAGACCAGGGGCCAGAAGCCTTGGGTTCTAACCCTGGGGCTGCCAAGTGTTATTTCCTCTCACTTGAGCCTGAGTGTTCTTACTCCAAAACGGGAGCATCTATTCAACTCCACGAACATTTCTTAACCATGTGCAGTGTTCCAGCACTGGGTTAGGTGCTGCTGGAATGAAGAATGATCCTATGGCGCCTCTCATTCAGTAGGAAAGACAGACAGGAAAGGTCAAGCCAGGGAGTTCCCTGGTGGTCTAGTGGTTAGGATTCGGCGCTTTCACTGCCATGGCCCGGGTTCAGTCCCTGGTCGGGGAATTGAGATCCCGCAAGCCCCATGGCCAAAATTAAAAAAAATAAAAGGCCAAGCCAGCTAGGCGCTGATCAGGACTATGAAGGTGGACAATCAATGCACAGCAAAGATTACTCAGAATTCAAGCAGATACTACCGGTATTTTTTATGGCAGCCCAAACAGACTAAGACAGGTGCATAAAATAAAATACATAAGATTACAAAGGAAACGTTGAAACTCTACTAACAAAATGTACTTCAGATTTGTGACATGTAATATATTAGCTCTTCTGTTAATGCGTTAAATAACAAGCTCTAGAGATGAATCTAATTAACTGCTCCGATTCCAAGGGAGTGATGAGTATAAATAATGTTCTGCATCAGATGCAATGCGATATGAAACGTCTGGAGTTTCCATGGGTTACACAGCCATTGGTACTGCTCTGGTTTGTTGTCTCATTCATAATTGAAGAGGATGCTCAATTTCAGTCAGAGGTTGGTGAAAATAACGACCTAATTTCTCTCCCAGCTAAGTTTAAGACCCCCTGAATTCTATCCAAGGACACCTTGAGGACACCAGTTAAGAACTGAGGGACTTCCCTGGCAATCCAGTGGCTAAGACTCCTCTCTTCCAGTGCTTGCATTGCAGGGGGTGTGGGTTCGATCCCTGGTTGGGGAACTAAGATTCCACATGCCCCGTGGCCAAAAACAAAAACAAAAAAACCCTCATGAGTGTGAAGCTATCTTACTTATCCTGAAAATAGGTATAGCACGAATGGCTGTATCTTTAGGATCTTGCTGAGTTCAGGGGAGACTCATTTTCTTTGAAAGGCCCAAGTTTACTAACTGATTCTTTTGGGTGAGTTAGTTTGGGAGAAGGAGATTCACCTAGGCTCCCAGTATCTGCCTACAGCTGAGTTATTAATTGTACAGAAGGAAAACCACCTTTATAGTGGGGAACTATCCCAGACATCATAATGTAAATGACCACCGCAAGTGTCCAACGTTTCAAAATATTAGTAGTAGGACACACTGAGATCACGTCACTCCAGACACAAAATGTGTAAACAGAATAATCTCAAGTAAATAATCAGATAAACCCAAATCAAGGGACCCTGTACACAATTATGTACCTCTTCTCTTCAAAAATGTCCATGTCATGACAAAGAAAGGCTGAGGAACTGTTCCAGATTATAGGAGATTAAAGAAGTTGACAATGAAATGTCTTGCTTAACCCGTGACTGGAGCCCAGCTTGAACATAAAGGTTTATAAAGGATATTATTGGGACAACTGGTAAAATCCAAACACGGAAAATATATTACACAATAATATTGTATTAATATTTTCTTGAATTTGACGATTTTCCTGAGATTATGTAAGAGAATGTCTTTGTTCTTAGGAGATATACCCTGTATTATTTAGAGGCAAAGGGGACATATTAGACTTAATGGTTCAGCAAAAATGTCTCTTTATATATTAGATAGATAAATAGGTACAAATATTGGGTGCATATATACACATATATACATACGTATCTATACACAAATATATACATATATTTCTATATACATGTATACACATAAATATATACATATATAGAGGGAGAAAGAGAGAGAGGGTTCATGAGCAAATGAGACAAAAATCTAACAACTGGTGAATCTGGATAAAAGGTATAAAGAAGTTCACTGTCCTATTATTGCAACTTTTTTGTGGGTTTGACTTTTTTCCAAAATACAAAGTTAAAAACAATTAAAAAGCCCACCATCCAGAGTCAGCTGTTACAAATGCTTCAGCTACTTTAAAAAAAATTTTATTTATTCTATTTATTATTTATTTTTGGCTGCTTTGGGTCTTCGTTGCTGCGCGTGGGCTTTCTCTAGTTGTGGCGAGCAGGGGCTACTCTTCACTGCTGTGCACGAGCTTCTCATTGCAATGGCTTCTCTTGTCACGGAGCACGGGCTCTAGGCACACGGGCTTCAGTAGTTGCGGCACGCAGGCTCAGTAGTTGTGGCTCGCGGGCTCCAGAGCGCAGGCTCAGTAGTTGTGGCGCACAGGCTTAGTTGCTCCACGGCGTGTGGGATCTTCCTGGACCAGGGTTTGAACCTGTGTCCCCTGCATTGGCAGGTGGATTCTTAACCACTGTGCCACCAGGGAAGCCCCTCAGCTACTTTTATCTCTGATCAACACCAGAGTCTCTGCTAATTAGCTATAATGCACGGTAGAAATTAGTTTTCAGCGTGTAGTCATGGCGCTCAAATGTGGGGATTAGCTGGGCTTACTGTGCAGGCCCCCCAGGTTTGAGCAGGGGATAAGAATCCAGCCAGTCCTGTGGCCTGAACTTCTCTGAATGGTACCCGGGGTTTAGGATTCTGAACCACCCACATGTGCAGGTGCTCACTGGAGGCGTCTGTTCCTGAGTCCCGAGACCTGACACCGGAACTGTAATCCCTGCATCCGCCCTGAGTGAACCTTTCAGAGAGTGAGGGTTTGGAGGCTGAGGCCCTACAGCCCGGACTACATGGACTTCCAGAAGAGACGTCTAAGGGTTGCTGGGTCAGCCTACTCATGAGTGCATGTGGCAGAGTTCAGTCTGAGATGTGGTTTTTTCAAGACCTTCTCTTCCTCCTCATGATTATTATTTTATAGCTTTACTGATATACATATACCTCCCATTTGTAGTCGAGAGGTCCATGAATTTTGTAAATACACAGTCCTGTGACTGCTATATTCGTTTCAGAACTCTTTCATCACCCCTAGAAGTCCCCTCCTGCCTCACTGCCCTCATCACCACCCCCATCTGGACCACGAAGTACTACTGATCTGCCTTCTGTCCCTATGGCTTTGCCTTTTCTAGAATTTCCTCTGAATGGAGTCATCTCAGGATGTAAACTTCTGTGTCTGGCTTCTTTCACTCAGCATAATGGTTTTGAGATTCACCTCCTGTGCTGTGTGCTGTGGTTTTGATTCAGATTTCCCTAATGATTAGTGATGTTGGGCACCTTTTCATTTGCTCATTGGCCATTTTTATAACTTCTCTGGAGAAACATCTCTTCAATTCCTTTGCTCATTTTATAAGTGCATTGTCTTGTGTTTTTTTTTTTTTTTTTTTTTGGCGGTACGTGGGCCTCTCACTGTTGTGGCCTCTCCTGTTGCGGAGCACAGGCTCCGGACGCGCAGGCTCAGCGGCCATGGCTCACGGGCCCAGCCGCTCCGCGGCATGTGGGATCTTCCCGGACCAGGGCACGAACCCGTGTCCCCTGAATCAGCAGGCGGACTCTCAACCACTGCACCACCAGGGAAGCCCCTGTGCATTGTCTTTTGATGCTGTTGTTGAGTTGCAGGAGTCCTTCATATATGCTGTATATTAATCTCATATAAGATACATAAATTGCAAATATTTTCTCCCATTCCATAGGTTGCCTTTTCACTCAGTTGATAGTATCCTTTGGTACACAAAAGTTTTAAATTTGGATGTAGTCTTTAGTCTTTTAAAATCTGAAACATTTCCTGGGCCTTTCTTTACCTTTCATGACATTGACATTTTTGGAGAGTACAGGCCCTTATTTTGTAGAATGTCCTCAGCTTGGGTCTATATAATTGTCTCCTCATGATTTGGTTCAGCTTGTGCATTTTTGGCAGGAACACAGTATCTGTGATGTTGTGGTCTTTTCAGTGCATCCATCAGGAGACATGTCACCAGTTTGTCCTATTATTGGAGATGCTGATTGAAATCTCTTAACTCAGGTGGTGTCCTCTGGTAAGTATGTAACTGATAAACAATCTGGGGGGACAGCTTTAAGATTCGGTGCATGTTACAAGTATCCTTTTCCCCAACAAAATGTAACCCAGTAGTTTTAGCATCCATTATGATTCGAGCCTGAATCAATGATTATAGTGATGATTTGCTACGATGGGTGAAAAACGGTGACTTGGTTTTCTACTTGTATTAGTCCCTCGACATTTATTATGGCATTTTAGTTGGCATTTTACTTTCCCTTATAATGAAAGAAGAGCTTTCTTCACTCTTCCTGTTTATTTGTTCTTCGATATCATTCTGATTCACAGATTCTTTTTTACTCAAGGTATTATTACATCTATAATCATTTTGATGAACTTTGTTTTTTGTTTGATTGTTTTTTGCATGTAACCATATATCTGGATATCACTCTGTATCAGTTCATAGAGTTCTTCCTTGTTGGTTTTTATAGCAATGTGCTACTTCATTGTGTGGACATGCTATAATTTATTCAAACAATTTCTTACATACGCACATTTAGGTTGTTTTGAATATTCTGCGTTACAAACTATGCTGTAATAAATAACCATCACAATTTTTTTTTGTATTGCTAGAGGTAATTGAGGGTAGTACCCAGAAGTGCTATTTCTAGGTCAAAGGGTAAATACTCTGTAATTTTCTTAGCTATTGCTCAATTCCCCTCAGCAGAGGTTGGACCATTTTGTAGTGCCCACTTCCAGCCTCGCCACAGAGTGGTTTGTCAAGATACTGAGTTTCTGCTCTTCTGATGAATGACAGGTGCATTGTCACTTAGGTGTGTCTCATCGTGTGCAGAGAGGTTGCATCCTTCCACCACTTCCAGTAAGTGGCTCCTAAGACCTTATTTTAGAGAAATGGCTTCCATTCGGGCTCCAGGTGCTTATTCTTTGGCCCCAGCCCCTCTCTCCTCCCTGTCTAGACAGATGAGGTCTGTCAGACTGTAGGAATGGGATCGTCACTAATATCACCATCGTCATCAAACGTGCCCAAACGTGAGAGGGCACTCAGTCCACCGGCACCAAGCGGGCGCATTTCCGTGCAGCTGGACAACTTGCACAGCCCTCCCTCTCACTCCTATCTCAACCTCCACAGCAACCTCCCCCAGAGGGTACAGATAACCCTCCCTGCTGAGTGCTGAGGCAAAGGGGCTCGGAGAGACGAAGCAGCTCACCCAGCCAGTGAGAGGAGAGTCCAGTCCAGAGACCATGAGCATAGAGTCCTAGTCAGTGCCTGCAAAGTCAGGGAACTGTCCCCAAGACTACTCTCACTTCTGACACCAGAGGCCAGCTCAGGGTCCCCACAACCACCGCCAAGTTCAGTGACTCACTAGAAGGACCCTCAGAACTTGCTGAAAGCAATTATACTCAGTTATGCTTTATTACAGCAAAAAGATACAGATGAAAACCAGTCAAGAGAAGAGACAAATAGGGCGCAGTCGGGAGAGGTTCCTACTCAGCGTCCGGGTAAACAAATGTAACTGATCAGGGCACCATGGGGCCTGCCGGGGACAGACCCCTCCCCCCCATGTCCTCTGCTTTAGCTCCTCTCTGAAGCACCTAGATAACAGTATCTGATGCACATTTCCTGAATTGTTTTACAGATGCCAAAACCACCACCAAATGGAAAACGTGAACTACATGATGACCATGAGCACATGGGCCCTAGACCTACTGGCGCCTAAAGACCGATAATGTTACCACCCCTCACCACCAGCCAACCAGAGAACAGCGCCTGAGCTGATCACACACCCTGGGACTCCCCTCCCTCACTTTGCCTTTAAAAACACCTCCCTGAGTGCAAGTGTTTTGAGCATTAGCTGCACTGGACTCTCTGTCTGGTGCCTTACAATAAACGCTGCACTTTCCTTCACCACAACCTGGTGTCAGTAGATTGGCTTTACCGCCCGTGGGCAAGTGGACCTACATTTGGTTCTGTAACACAAAGGCACTCTTATCAGGCAGGAGAGCCTAAGGGCTTAGAGATCACCTCTGGGGAGCTGAGGGCAAAGAGCAGATCTCTCTTTGGGCAAGGGTAAATTTTTTATTACACAATGCCCTTTCCTTGTGACGCATTCATACAAGTGAGGGTACCCGCTCATGACCTGGGAGGAAGAGTCCAGCCTCTGTGCCCACGTAACTGGCATGAAGAAGAATCCCACTTGGCTCAACAGCAGGACTGGGAAATGGACAGCAACAGCCAGTCTGTAAGAAAAGTACAGTAGACTGGTTATTGAGAATTCACATCCAGTGTTTTTCTCCACTCATCAAATATGGAAGAAAAATGTCAGTTTGACCCCACTGGGCTCTTGCGTCAGGCCCAGCTGGCCTCAGTATCATTTCTGACTTGATTGCATCCAGAACCCATAGGTGGTGCCAATTTTCAGTTTGGGCAACACATAATTTTAAAAAGAAAAAAAAGGGGGGATTCTGAAAGATTAACAAACCTCTTTCTTCTATCGAATTACATTTCCCAGTTGAGGTAATGTTACAATGAAGATTGCCTTGCAGTTTGTACAAAAGGGGTAAGTTCACAGCTTTATTCACTGTGGGACTGTTGTTGACACTTGCAAAAATCTTCCACCTCCAAATCAGACAAAGGTCAATTGAGAGGAGGCCGCCAAGCCTTACTATTTAGGGATGGGGGAGGGGAGAGGAAAGGAAGACAAATTCAGACCTGAGGGAGCAGGGGATTGGGGGTGGCGTGGCGAGGGGGGCTGGGAGGGAGGAGAAAAAACTTTTTGGTTCACTTCACAGGCTTTCTCCACACACTGGGCTATCCTGAAGGAGGAGGACAGAGTTTGTTTTCTCTCGAGGTCCTCCAGCCCACCCAGTGTCCTTCTCAGGATTTCCGTGCTCCTCCAGCCTTCCTTGGATAGGATGCCAGGGCCACAGACAGATGTTTTCTTTCTTTTTTCCTTTTTTTTTGGGGTCACACCTTGTGGCTTACAGGATCTCAGCTCCCTGATCAGGGACTGAACCCAGGCCACGGCAGTGAAAGCCCGGAATTCTAACCACTAGGCCATCAGGGAACTCCCTCAATTATATGCTTGGTCTGGGGCTTCAGCTGACACTCCCAGACGGGGGGTCTGTTACAGTCTTCCAAATCTGGAGGTCTGTGGATTCATCCCAGACACCTGATCTGTTCAACCATCAATTTCATGGCTGACTCTTTCTCTGTGTCTTCAGTGTGAATGTGACTCAGTCAAAATATGACTTCCCATCACATGGGCCGTTCTGGTCGCCCTGAAAGGGATTTCCCAGCATCTTGGGCTTCCACAACTCCAGTTAGATACTTTCCTTCTTTCTCCAGTTTTAAGCATCTGGGAATCTCAGCCAAGCCTAAAATCAGAGGTCCTCATCTATCACCTCAATTAATGAACAATAAATATTATATACCCGGCTGGTTTCTATGTAAAATGTTTCTAGCACCAATTCCATTCCATTGTGCGAGGGGAGGGTGTTGGTGGCAGTAGGGAGGGTGGTTCCCAACACTATCCAACAAGTCTCCAGACACCAGCTCAGTGTCCCACAATTCAACTCTATTCTGACATTGCCTACTCAGAGAGGGCATCATATCCCACAGGTTAAGGGCTCAGTCTCACACGCCTACCCCCTTCCCCAGCTTCGGAAGCCAGGCATAAGGCCAGCTGATCACCTGTGCTTCTGACCGATTGGAGGTTCCAACAAGACCCCTCCTTGAGTTTGATTAATTTACTAGAGCAGCTCACAGAACTCAAAGAAACATTTAATTCGCTAGATTACTGGTGTATTATAAAAGGATATGAACAGCCAGATGGAAGAGATTCGTAAGGCAAGGTATGGGGAAGGGGCGTGGAGTCTCCATGCCCTCTCCAGGCATACCATTCTCCCCCCATCTCCAAGTGTTCACCAGCTCAGAAGCTCTCCAAACCCTATCTTTTGGGGGTTTTCCGGAAGCTTCATTTCATAGGCATCATTGATTAAGTCATTGGCCATTGGTGGCTGACTCGACCTCCAGCCCCTCTCCCCTCCCTGGGGGTGAGGGGGTGGGACCAAAAGGTTCAGCCTCTAATCACGTGGTCAGTTCTTCTGGCAACCAACTCCCACCCTTAGGGGGATCCAAAAGTCATCTCATTAACATAAAAAAGAACGTTCATCCTTCTAGTCACTTAGGAAATTGCAAGGATTTTAGGAGCTCTGTGTCAGAAATGGACGAGGACCAAGTATGTATTTAATTACATTACCATACCATGACCCAAATATCCTTTCCTTTTTTTTTTTTTTTTGCGGTACGCGGGCCTCTCACTGTTGTGGCCTCTCCCGTTACGGAGCACAGGCTCCGGATACGCAGGCTCAGCGGCCATGGCTCACGGGCCCAGCCACTCCGCGGCATCCCGGACCGGGGCACGAACCCGTGTCCCCTGCATCGGCAGGCGGACTCTCAACCACTGCGCCACCAGGGAAGCCCCAAATATCCTTTCTTTAGGAAAATGCAGAATTGGGGATCATAAGTATCCCGCATTTTGTTTTGACATCAATTGATTTATTCATCAAATACCTATTGAGGGTTTACTCTGTGCCCAGCGCTATGCTGGCACTGGAGGCTTAATGATGAGCAGGGTAGGTAAGGTCAAAGTTGAAGAAAGGCACCGCTCTGAGATGGCTTTCAGTTATTTTTCATTCTGAAGGGAAAAACTCTCTGAGAACTGAAAACTCTACCTCTGTCTTGTCAAAAAATAGACTGAGGTATATTAAATGTTTTAAGAGTTTGAGCAAAATTAATTTGAGTCGGGCAGCATCCAGTCTAGGAAATGGAAAGGAGCTCTGAGGAGCTGTACAAAATGAAAGATTTTTATAGGTAGAAGGGAGCAGAAACAAGGACGTTATACTAGGCAAAAAATCCAGGTGGTTAGAGCAGGTTACTTTCCTTTCGAGTCTGTCAGGCAGATTACCTAACTAGTGCTAGGAGTCAGGCAATTCTAGAAACCAGGTGATTCCTGATTGACCGGTTAAAGATTCCATTTCTAGGAGAGCAGAAACTGTAATTAAGTTGTCTTGGTTTGGTGACATGGGGCTTAACATAAGCGACTCCATTTGGGGCCTGTTGTCTTGTTTTTAACGGTCTCAACCAGAGGTGAATCTTACATCTTATAAAATTTATCTTAGTAGTATTTTTAATAGTTAAGCATTTAAAAAATATATAATAAAATATTTTTGGAAAAGATTACACAGTACCCGAGCATGGTAAATTCAAATGGCCCAGAAGGGATCACAGGTAAGTCAACCACTCCTTCCCCCAGAGCTGGTAGGAGAAGTTTAGGCTTCGGGCCTGCAGGGGGACCTCCTAGCCAGCTCTCCTTTCTCCTCGGGCCTATTCTAGATCCTTGGACCCGAGGGCTCTGGCATGCTGGGCAGAGGGGGGGTGGCGGCAGGGGTGAGACAAGTCCCCAGTCCCCAAGAAAGGCCTTGGGTTCACATATCCAACCAGCTGTTTGGGGTAGGGATGGAAGTTACTCATTCTCAAATGCTTATGGATGCCAGACACTGATCCAGACATTTAGTTGGGATACATCCCCTTCTTGCAGGTGAAGAGCTGGTAAGGGGTGGCTGGATGAGCGCCTGGTGTGAGAACCAGGGCAAAAAACCTTCCCCCACCCCACTATTCTTAACTGCATACTAAACAGCTTCATGTTGGCAGGGGGGCAGTGCAAGTCTTTTCTTCCCTAGTCACCTACAATGCAAGGGATTTGTAGCCACCACTGATGCCTCTGCATGAACAAAGGATCCCTGAAGGATGTTATACTCTACTTTTCTCCAACAAGAACTGACCTTGCAACACAGGAATCCCAGTGAACTACCAATTTTTCATCTTTAAGCAGTGCTGTGCGCTGCCAGTTCTAGACAAGGAGCCATTTCTGATTTCTAGAAGACTTCTTGCAGCCAGTGGGCTGGAGACGGGGCCTGGCTGTAAAGGACTGCGAGTAGAATTCAGTTACAGGGCCCGCTGTCCTGGGGTTGCCTCTTGTGCTGGATATTACCTGCTGTGAAATGACGTTAAAAACAACCGCTCTTCACTCTTCACTCTTCACTGTTCCTTCCTTCCCTGCTTCCATTTATTTTTAATTGTGGTAAAATATATACAACATAAATTTTACATTTTTAAATTTTAAGTTGTGCTAAAATACACATAACATAAAATTTACCATCTCAGACACTTTCAAGTGCACAGTTCAGTGGCATCAGATACATTCACATTACTGTGTATCCACCACCACCATCCATCTCCAGAACTCTTGCCATCTCACAAAACTGACACTGAGTTTTGTACACTGAGACTGTGTACTCATTAAACAACTTCCTTCTTCCAGTCCCTGGCAACTACTATTCTACTTTCTGTGTCTATGAGTTTGACTATCTAGATACTTCACATAAGTGAAATCAAGCCGTATTTGTCCTTTTGTGTCTCACTCAAAAGCAGAGCGTAGGGCTTCCCTGGTGGCGCAGTGGTTGAGAGTCCGCCTGCAGATGCAGGGGACACGGGTTCGTGCCCCGGTCTGGGAGGATCCCACATGCCGCGGAGCGGCTGGGCCCGTGAGCCATGGCCGCTGAGCCTGCGCGTCCGGAGCCTGTGCTCCGCAACGGGAGAGGCCACAACAGTGAGAGGCCCATGTACAGCAAAAAAAAAAAAAAAAAAAAAAGGATAGTGTAATGTCCTCAAGGTTCACCTGTTGTAGCCTGTGTCAGAATTTCTTTCCTTTTTAGGCTGAATAATATTCTATTGCATTGATAGACCACATTTTGTTTATCTATTGATCTGTCCATGGACATTTGGGTTGTGCCCACATCTTGGCTCTTGTGAATTATGCTACTATGAACCTGGGTGTACAGATACCTGATCATGTCCTGCTTTCAGTTCTTTTGGATGTGTACCCAGAAGTGGAGTTACCCTCCTCATTTTTCTTAATTACAAACTAAATGGCTCTGTGCTGGGAAGAGAAACTCAGGAAGAACATGCAGTCTGTTGGATGTTTACCACCAGTTTGATAACCCAGCTGAAGCTTTCTCATTTAAAAAAAAGAGAAAAAGGGATTTCACCTTCTCACAGTTTTGTATAAACTCCCACCCACTGACACACTTTCAAACATACCTCATTTCTGATATAACTGTCCTCCCTCTCTCCCTCTCTCTCGCCAGAAATTACAACCACCACAGATACCATACTC